AAAGGCACCACTGAAACATACAGAACCACAGCTGAGTTAGCAGGCACTGCCATAATTATTCACTTTTGGAGAAGGATTTCTGTGACTGTTATGGCAAAAAGCATAACAATATTAAATCACAGAAGGTTGCAAAACACTAAATTTGTGCTAGTTCTGTTATAAGAATCAATCAATATTGACCACAAGAGGCCTGTGCACTCACTGGCTGCAGGTGTGCAGAGAAAGCCTACTTTCCCTGAAACCATTCTGTGACCAGAAATGGGAGTAGTTAAAGCTCCGTGACTACACCATTCTCTGATCAGTTACTTTCATTCAATGTTACAACACTCTTTGCTGTAAAGCTAATCATAGCAGAGCCCCAGTAGTCTGGAAGAACAAAGGCAGATCTGTTTAATTAGATTATCAATACTAGTACATCAAACTTCATGAGTTATTGACTAAACCTTTGATTATTTTTGTACTATAACCACTGATTGCTTACTAGGTTGTTTTTGGTATCATTTGACATCTAATGGCAGATGACGTATACTACAGCTCACCTGTGCATGGAAAGCAGCATGTACTTGTAAAAATGAAATTTTGTACTTGATAGCAAGAACACATTAATCAATTCTCTGAATACAAATTTAAGAAGCTCCTGTCAGTTTTTATACAATATGAGAAAATCAGGCATGTTTGAAAAAAATAACAAGGTATTTAAGAAACAAAAGAAATCCCAAACAAATAGGCCAATAACTATGTTTATATTGGCATTTTTGTTATAAAACTAATAGGGAGGACTGGGATTGAGGCTCAGTGGTAGAGCACTTGCCTAGCATATGTGAGGCATTGAGTTCAATTTTCAGTGCCACACAAAATAAAAAATAAAGGCCCATCAACAACTAAAAAATAAAATAATAGGGAGCACACCAAAATCTGATTTTAAAGGAAAAAATGAACAAAGAGAAAAATCGTACTACTTGATGAGTATAAACAGCTTTGAATGAATAATAATTAGTACTGAATGTTCTAGTTCAGAAGGAACTATTGATTTACCACTATTTCCCACAGACTTGATAACTTCTATCTATATCTAAAACATAGTAAGTACACCAATAGCCAAATGTCTTCCAAAGAATAGCTAATACCAAATGCTGATAAGGGGTCAAAGACACTTAGAAAAGAAAGTAACCACCAAATAGGAAGGATGGCACTGAAAGGGGTTCTGAAGCCAGCCTACCTAGCTTTGGAAACTGACTGCCACATACTTGCTGTGTGACCCTGATCAGGACATTAACCCTCTTCTACCTTATCTTCATATGTATAATATAGACAGTAACAGAACCAAGCTTCACAGGGTTATTTGTGAGGATAAAATGAGTTCATCTATGTAAGATATTAAGGACATAGCACAGACAGCATTTTTTTGGACATGTTAGCAACCATTATTACTGCTATGACTGTTCTAAATAACATCAAGTCCAGTCTCACCTATGCCTCATGATTTTCCTAAGTCAAATCTTGTTGTTTCCAGATATTTGCACTTTCTTATATCAGAAGACATAATACTAGTATACATATCAAATTAGAAGCTCAGATAGCATGACCATAAGACATCAAAGAGAAAGAGCTACATGAGTCCCCCTTTCACGACTTTCCACTTGAACTAAGTGAATAACAGGTGAAACACAAGTAGACAAACCAATGGACAAACCAGTCTTTGTATATTTGTACAAATAATATGATTTAAATTGAACATCTGTTTTCTTTATGGAAGTGTAGAATTTGGGCAAAAACCAGGCTGATAATGCTTACATGAACAGATCCAAATAAAAATTGGACAGAAGTCTCTAATGAAGTTTCCTAGTAGGTAACACTTCACATATTTTGTCACAATATGCTGGAGACATTAAGCATGTACTGGGTAATTCCACTAGGAAAGGACTCTTGGAAACTTATATCTGGTTTCTTGCAGATTTTGCCCCATGTACTTGTTTGTTTGTATTCCTGAGTCTACTGTGTTTTTACTTTAATAAATCATAGCCATGAGTTATGACTATATTCTGAGTCTAGTGAATCCTCCTAGTGAACCACCCAATCTGTGGTTGATCTTGGGAAACCCTAAAGACAGGGATCATAAACCTAAATATAATAGTTAAAATGGCTGAACCTCAGAACAAAACATGAAAAATCTTTATGATATTAGGCTAGGCAAAGATTTCTTAAATAGATCACAAAAAGTCTGAAATATAATTGAAAAAAATACAGATAAAATGGATTTTATCCAAATCAAATATCTGATTCTTTCAAAGACATTAAGAAAACCAAAAAGAAAGCAGGAGAGAATAAGAAGAATAAATAATCATCTACATAGCAAAAGGGTTATGTAAGAATTTATAAAGAACTTTCAAACCTTAATAAGACCAAAAAAATTTAAAGCAGGCTAAAGATGTGGAAAAAAAATTTAAAGAAAATATGACTGACCAATAAGATAATGAAAAAATGTCCAACATCACTAAATGTTAGGAAAAAGCAATTAAAGCCACAATGAAATACCACTACACACCCACCAAAATGGCTACAGTTAAAAAGTCTAATAAGACTGGGGTTGTGGCTCAGTGGTATAGCACTTGCCTAGGACATGTGAGGCACTGGATTTGATCCTCAGTACCATATATAAATATAAATAAAGAAAAATAAAGGTATTGTGTCCGCCTACAATTTAAAAAAAAAGTATAATAAGATCAAATGTTAGTGAAGATATGAACCAACTAAAACTCATATACATTAGTGATAAAAATGCAAATGGCACAGCCACTTTATAAAACTATATGGCACTATTTTTGAAAAATACATACACTTCCCAGCCAATGCAACAATTCTATTCTATGATATTTACTCAAGAAAAATTGAAACAAATGCCCATACGTAATAGTTTTATTCAATACAAACATCCTCAAACAGGTAATTTTTAAAATTATGCAATATTTATATTATAACAATAAAATGTGAATACATGAAACAATACAGATGGATCTCACRGTTTCTTAAGTAAAAAAAATAATAATAATGTCAAACCCAAGAAATTCCACACTGTATAATTCAATTACTAAGAAAGTTTAAAAATGTCAAAACTGTAGTGAAAGCAGATCAGTTGTTTCAAGGAGACACCATATAAAAGTTTTAACTTTAAAGTAGATCACAGTCCTAATATAAAGCTAAAACTAACTCTTAGAACTAATAAGTGAAAATCTTTTTGACCTTGGATTAAAAACTGGTTTCTTAGACAAGACAACTAAAGGAAAAATAGATAAACTAAAATATTGTTGGCAAGTGTGCCACCAAAAATTTAGATGCTAAATACCTTCACAAAAGAAACAACAAAAAACAAACAAAGGCAAAATGTGGCCACACAATGTATGGAAAATAAAATCAAAATCACAAAATCCTCCTGAAGTCTCCATTCCATGCTCTTCACACACACACACTCTTTCAAACTGACACCATAACCATGGTCTCCTCACTCAGAATGCTCCTATTTGTTCATTTGGGGTTTTTTTATCTGTCATTAAAATACCAAACAAGTAGCAGCAGTAACACATTTTTAATTTTATGGGAGAAAAATCTCTAAAGCTTTAAGTGGAGCAAATTCTATCAATTATCCAGACCTTTTTTATACACAGATGGAAGGTGGTTATAACTTTAAAGCTAGATTGCATCAGTACAGTCTATGAAAAAAAAATAGTATTTTACTGGGTGGAACACACAAATTCAATAAATCCAAATAATATGTACTGAGCGCTTGGTACATGTCATGAATAGTAAGAGAATCTTGGGAAATATTCCTGGGCTTAGTCCTAGAAATGTCAAAAAGCTCCAAATCATTTAGGTCTGAGAATTCTTGATTAGGAATAGGGGGGGAAAATTAAGTCCCTAGAGCAAAATGTAAACTAAACTGACCTCTAGGAATTGGTGAAAATACAGCAAGTTACAGTCATTCACTCAGGAGAATCAAGCTCAATTTTATTTTTCACATTTGCCACCAAAAAGTCAAAGCTAATGTTATATCTACTTTTTATCCTATTTTACCTAAATTTAATATTATAGACACTTTAAATGTAACAAAAATCCAGTGATATTTAAATATACTTGTGACATTTCAAAGTAACTGAAAAGCATATGGTCCCTATATAACAAAAGGAATCATGAAAATCATGGATCAAAAGAGTACCTCAATATTTTTACTGGCCACATTCTTCACAACAGCAGGGAACAGTTCAGATGCATTTCTCCCTTTTGCAATCATCTGAAAATAAAAGAAGAATATGAGGTCAAAAATTCCTTTTAAGAATAAACAATATTTATGCAATAATATAAATTCACAAATACATTAGATACATTAAAGAAGAAATACAGAGTAATTTAAGACAAATATGAAAATATATACAATATTTTTCTCTGGCTAATTGTGTTATAAATACTTCTTAAAATATTCATGAAGTTCTTTATATTTCTAGTTCTTACATTGAAGATTCATGCATCTGCAGTGGAAGTAAGAGATAAAGTTTAGTTTGAATCCGTGACTTTCTTATCATAGGTTTCTCTACTTCTCCAACCATCACCTTTTCAAGTTCTCTTCATTAAATCCTCTTCCCTTGCCCACTGAAGTCCCATGCATCACCATCTTTTCCAATCTCTGAAATTCCCTAGACTTCTCATGACTCTTACCTCTCTATATGAGGATCCTTCCCCAAAACACTAGCACAAATTCTGAGCTCAAGTTCTATATCTCTAACTAGACACGATTAGATGTGACTCATCCCAAAGTTCCTATGCCTAAAACCAATCTCATTTTTCAAGATAAAATGACATTCCATGGCAGAATTTCCTTTTTCCATCAATTCTCCCAGATGACAGAAACCACAGAATTATCCTGGTCTCTTCTCCCAACTACAAAGTAACTAGGTCCTATTGTTACTTCTTATTACACTCATATTAAAACCTTTCCACTGACACTCGCGCACACTCGCGCTCGGGCGCACACGGATCAGGCACCGGCTCCCGGAGCGAGCCAGCGAACGGCGAGCCGGGGACCCACAGGGCTGAGCCAGCCGAGCAGCCAGCGASCGGAGCCCGCGACGACCCACGCCCCCGAGCCACGCAGCCGCCCCCCGCCGGCCGGTGTCCCCGCTGCCCTCCTTGACCCATGGCGCTGAAGCGGATTCAGAAAGAATTAAGTGATCTACAACGTGATCCGCCGGCTCACTGTTCAGCTGGACCTGTGGGAGATGACTTGTTCCACTGGCAAGCAACTATTATGGGGCCTCCTGATAGCGCATATCAAGGTGGCGTCTTCTTTCTCACTGTACATTTTCCGACAGACTATCCTTTTAAACCACCAAAGATTGCTTTCACAACAAAAAATTTACCATCCAAATATAAACAGTAATGGAAGTATTTGTCTTGATATCCTGAGGTCACAATGGTCACCAGCTTTGACTGTATCAAAAGTTTTATTGTCCATATGTTCTCTACTTTGTGATCCTAATCCTGATGACCCCTTAGTTCCAGATATTGCACAAATCTATAAATCAGACAAAGAAAAATACAACAGACATGCAAGAGAATGGACTCAGAAATATGCAATGTAAAATCAAAAAAACTTTCATATATACCAGAGTACTGTAAAATCTAGGTTTTTTTCAACATTAGCAGTAAATTGAGCACTGTTTACTGTTTCATTGTACCATGAAACCCTTTGATTTTAACCCATTTTAAATGTGTTTCTGAAGCAAGACAAAACAAACTTCCAAAAATACCCTTAAGACTGTGATGAGAGCATTTATCATTTTGTATGCATTGAGAAAGACATTTATTATGGTTTTTAAGATACTTGGACATCTGCATCTTCAGCTTACAAGATCTACAATGCAGCTAAAAAGCAACCAAATTATTTTTTGCTGAAACTAGATGTTTTTACATGAGAAATACTGTATGTGTTGTCTAAGATGTCGTCACTTTTATAAATCTGTATTCAGATTTCATTCTTTGTTAGCTCACTTTATAATTTGTATTTTTTTACTGTATAGACTAAATATATTCTATTTACATGTATGTCAGCTCATTACTTTTTTCCTGTGAACAGTATTGAAAAAACCCAACAGCTGATAATTAAATGAATTAACTGTGTCTCCCTTGTCTTAGGATATTCTTTAGATTGATTGCAGATTTCTTAAACCTGAAATGATCTTTACACTGTAATTCTCAGTATACTGATTATGGAGAAACACTTGTTTTGATTTTGTTATACTTGACTTAACTTTATTGCAATGTGAATTAATTGCACTGCTAAGTAGGAAGGTGTGTAACTTTTATTTGTTGCTATTCACATTTGAATTTTTTTTTCTGTATAGGCAATATTATATTGACACCTTTTACAGATCTTACTGTAGCTTTTTCCATATAAATAAAATGCTTTTTCTACTAAAAAAAAAAAAAACCTTTCCACTGCCACTATCCTAGAACAGAATGAGATCACCTATCAGAGGAGTTTTCAATAGTCCCCCTTCAATCCATAATGTACATCATTCTTAATATTCTATGCTGGGGACTAGGGGTATAACTCAGTGGTAGAGAACATGCCTAGTATATAGGAGGCCCTCAGTTGGATCTTCAGCACTGCCAAAGGGGGGAAAAAAAAAACTTTCCGAATGTCAGCCCTCCCTCAAAGACTAGAAAAGCTCCTGACTGCTTAGGGTCAAATTATTTTAGTTAATATACAAATGCCCTCACAATTTGCACTAACATCCCTTCCTAAGCTCCTTGACCTAATGTTCTGTATCAGTGGTATTACCTAAGTAAACTGATCTTATTGTCAGAACACTAGCTATGATTTCACTCATATCACATTTTGAACCAATTCATTTTACTTTTCTAAGTCCTACCCTTCTATCTAAAGTATAAAATATACTCCATGAACCCTGCTAATGCCATTTCCTTAACAACTTCTGTAAGGTCCAATCCTAATTTCCTCTAGACAGTTTTAACCTGTAATTTTCATTTAGAATTACCTATGTGCTAGCTTACATTTATATTTATTTTAGTTTTATATCTACCTGTACTCCCATTTCCTTCTCTCATTCTCGAAATTTATCTTTTATGACTTTAAATAGCGCAGACTTTACTAAACCCAAAATAAAGTCCAAACTATAGAAAGGAATTCTTTATGAATTACACACTATATCTAACAACTACCTTAAAAAGAAGGAATTACCTTTATTAATTTATGATAAGTGTTTTATAAATACTATATATAAACATACATATATAATCCCATTAAGCATTATGATCCCATTAAGATTTTTCATGAGACTTTTCTAAAATGATAGCTTCGTAATACTCTTTTTATATTGTTTCCTTATTTGTGATATTCTTTTCACCTGAGTATTTTGTGAACCTACTAAGCACTGCAAGAGGTTCACAAAGTAACTTCAGGAAAAACATCTTTATATGATTTGTATACCTCTCTCAATTTCTTTTTCTGTAAAATAAGAAGAGTGAAGGATTAAATGCTCTCTGGAGTTCTTTCCATCCAGTCTTTCAATGATAACCTCATCAGAAACTTTGGCCAACTTTATTCTGCAGAATGCTATTCAAAAATATGTTAATATATGGAGGGGGGACCCTATCATTAAATACAAATATTTGCTGAGAGTATACAGTATACCAGTAACTATGCTAGGTCTTGGGGACACAATCACGAATACAAAGTCCTCGCCCATGTGGCCCTTACCTTCTTCTAGCAGGAGTGAGGGTCAATAAACAAGTAGATATAAAACATGAGATGGAAATATTGGATATTCAAATATACACTGAAGACAAATATTGGATACTTCAACACATTTAGGAATAGAAAGACATCAGAGGCACTATAAAAGAAATGGGAAGTGCTAAGGTGGGAGTAAAAGCTGTTCTTTTCTACAGATTGATCAGAAAAGGTTCTCTTTTCAGCAGAAACCTGAGGGAAGAGTGGAAGGGAACCATGGGACCAGCTAGGCAAATAGTAGTTTTATCATGACCTGTTCCAGGAACAGGAGGCCTGGGTGGCCAGACTGGAGTAAGTGAGGAGAGAATGGCAGGAGAAAAAGTCAGAGAAATGCATACCACTGTAAAAGAAGGTGGCTTAGAGGACACGTGAAATGGGAAAACGCTGGAGAATTCTGAAGAGGATAGTTGTCACTGGATATCTTACAAGGTCTTTCCAGCTGTAGTGTGAAATACAGAACAGGAGATGTGGAATCACAGAAAACAATTAGCAGGCCACTGAAATTATCCAGGAAAAAAGATGCCGATAGACTGTGAGAAGGGGATAGATTTTTGGACTTATTCAGAAGTGGATTATATATGGGATTTAAAAAAAAAGACAAGAATTAAGAAGGACTACACATGAATTACCAGAAGAATGAAACTGTCATTAACTATGATGCAAAAGACTAAGGGACAAAGCAAGAGTTTTGGAAAAGAGAGAAACCAAGAGGTTTCACACACTTTGAGACACATATGAGCATGGAAACCATGGGAGAATACAGGAAAGCACCTGGCTGATGAAATGCAATTGGAAAGAGGTCAAATCACTGAGGGAGGACAGATAGAGAAATGGAATAAAGGACAAGATGTGATATAATCCTAAAGATGGAAGTTGTAGAGAAAAAGAGAAACCAGTTAAGAAGATTCCTTGAAATGGAGCAGACCTTCTCAATGCTATTCCTGTCTTTTCGGATAGCATTTCCTCCATCTCTTCTCCCTTTTAGTTTAGGTAAAATCCTGTTCTTGGTTCTCTCTTCCCTAGAACAGAGAGCATAAGAACTTTGTGCAGAAAGGAAGGTTCGTGAGTAGAAAGCACAGGGGAATATGTCTTTTTTTTTTTTTTTTTAGTTGAAGTTTCTGATGCCTAAAAAAGCTGCAGTGCAAAAGGCGGGAGTCAGGTTCAGCTAACTGAGCAGAAGCTGAAATGACACAAGTCATTTGTAGCTCTAAGCTCTACTAGGCTCTAACCATGCCCTCTCCTAAGCCAGCTTCTACCCAAGGCAAAGATAGAATTCCAGAGCATTTCTACAAAGAATATCCACTAGTTGCCCACATCTAATTGAAGGAGGGGACTAGTTTCTGACAACTGTTCTTTAATTTATACACGACTTTTTTCTTAATATTTATTTCAGATATATATGTATATATGTATATATGCATATATATCTGAAATAAATAAATATATATATATATATATCTGAAATATATATATATATATATATATATATATATATATATATATATATCAGCATAATTTTCATGGTTATTAATCCAGTAAGCCTTAGCTTGAAAATCAGAGTCAAGTAAAGAACATATCACTGCTACTCCTTAATATTATTCTGGATACTTCAAGACCTTTAGGAGTAAAAACACAGTAGAGGTACAGCAATTTTAAATATCACCATTGTTTTCTGAAAATGATTGCTCACCTAAAAAAAACTATTATAAATAATAATTCACTAAGATATTTAGGGACAACAATAATGTTCTGTACATTTCCAAACACTAAAAGAAAGGATTTTGAAAGCACTCACCATAACAAAATAACTGTTTGAAGAAATAAGTATGAATAACCTCCTTGAAATATTAAATAATATATACATGTATGTAAACATAACATGAAACCCCATTAATAAGTCTAAATTGTATGTTTTTACATACAATTTAGAAAAAAATTTAAAAACAGATTCAAGTACAAATTTAATATCTGAACTCAATGATTTTTATATAAAAAGGATGCGACTACTATGATGCTAATATTCATGAGAACAAAATGTGAAAATAGCTAGGAATATTCAGGGAGAAATTACAAGAAGGCCTTATATCTATTTTTTAAAATACCACATTTTAGTCAGCTTTTTCATGCTATGACTAAAAGATCTGAACAAAACAACTTTAAAGGAGGAAAAGTTTATTTAAGGTCTCATATTTTCAGAAGTCTTAATCCACAGAAAGCGAGCTCCATTTCTTGGGGCTCAAAGTGAAACAGAACAACATGTCGGAAGAGTGTGGAAGAGAGAAGCCGCTTACATGTTAATCAGCAAGCAAAAAGAGAGTCTACTGACAGATACAAATATACATTCCCAAGCCAAGCCTCAATTCCCACCTCCTCCAGCCACACCCTACCACTTCTTTACCACTCAGTTAATCCCTACCAGGGGATTAGTTCACTGATGAGGTTAAGACTCTTAGAACCCAGTCATTGCTCCTCTGAACCTTTTTGCATTGTCTTAACACGTGAGCTTTTGAGGGACACCACATCTAAACCATTGTCTTAACACGTGAGCTTTTGAGGGACACCACATCTAAACCATAAAATACCAATAAACTAAAAGAAATAACTGCACTCTGATACTGAAACATCAATCAAGTCAGATCAAATGGAGTCACAGAGTAGCGTGGTTGTCTATCTCAATATCTGTGTATCCATCAATCCTGAATATTAAAGGAGAGATTCACTCACCTTGTGCAACAGGAAGGATTTGAAACTTCTGCCCAGAAAAAAATTCAGACCACTAGGAAAAGCAGTTCCTGAAGTCATAAGATATTGATTCTACGGAGGATCTCATTCCAATAAAATACATAAGGTGCTTTTTAAATTTTAACTTCCTCTTTTTTAATTAGTGACCCCCAAAAATCTCATTATACATATAGAAATACTGTTGCCAGTATGATTCCGTCCATTTCCAGGTGTGGAAATGGCTAATTCCTTACCTCAGTGATAGAGAAATACCAGAAGTCACCCTATGTTTTTTTAAGGCTCCTACCATAACCCCCATTAAATATTCCTCACTCTAGATTCAGTGCAAGAATCCTGAGAGGATCCCACAAAACAGAGAGGGTCACAGATTCATGTGTGTTCTCCTAACCACACTAGAAGGCAAAATATAAGAGCAAATTTTATTTCAAGAATACTCAGTTTAGTCTAGTGTGCCCTCCAAACCCAACCACCTCATTGTGTATCTAAGAGTCTTAATTGTATGGAATTCCTCTGGGGGTGGTACTGGAAATAAAGTGAGGCAATAATGTCTAATACTTGTATTTCTTCTTTCAGAAGG